CCACCTCCAGGCGGCCGTTACCCGCTGCCCCGCAGCGCGAGGCGCCGCCCCTCCCCCCACGCCCGCCAAGGGCGGAGCCGCGTGCGGGAGCCCGGGCTGGCAGTGGGCGAGTGCTGCGCACGCTGGCGCCCTGGCCGTCGGAAGAGTTGTCCTATAGTAAGTTTTAAAAGAACGATGGTCTAGTAACAGCTTGTAATATTTTATTCTTCATTGCTTGAGACCCTAGAATGGAGTCAGCCCAGACCTCATGCGACCTAAACAAAGAAATATTTGGGGGACCTCCCCACCATTCCTTTTTCAAGCTCGGCCTGTTTGTGCCGGCAGTAACCCTGTCAGGCGACGTTTCTGAACCCGGGTGGGTCATGACCCAAAAGGGGGTTGCAAAGGGTTAGAACAAACTTCAAAAAAGGACTCTCCTTCAAAGGAGAAAAAGGGAAACCACCGCTTTTCCCTTGCAGGTGGGCAGTTGGAGCCTGCAAGGGGCTGCTTTGGGTCCCCCCAAACCCCCTGCCCCACAGAAGCAGGGCACAGCAGGGCAGGAGTGAGGGGCACAGGGTCAGGCTTGGCACTGATGTTTACAAATGGGTCCAGGTACAAAAAAAAGATTGAGAACCACTGCTTTAGAGATTGATGCAACCCCTCTGAAACCCTCACAGACCACTGTAGCCTCCCGAGCACTGTACCTACCTGGCACCCACCCCACCCTGGAAAACATCTGTTACCACTACACTCAACTTCAGTGACCAAGAGTCTTTATTCTGTGTTAAGACAGTAACCAAGTTGAAAAACCACTTTTATACGCCCGTGATGTTTTTAGAATGATCTTCTCCCCAAACTCTCCAAATTGTGCAAAACAGTACCTCTTCATATTTTTCTTCACCGTGCCAGAGATATTATTAACAAAGTTCAGCTCTGGCTTTTCTTGCATGGGAATTACCTATAAACAAGTTTTGCCTATACAGATGCTTTCTGCCATTTTTATTTTTCATGGTTGACCTGTATAGATGGCATTGTGCACCATCTACGCAATTTAATACCGTAAATGCCAAAATTCAAATTGATAGGGGGGGGTCAGTATAAAATGATATGAGAAATTCGAGCCAGACAGAGCAGATAAACACAGCATGATGTTCTCTGCTTTCTTCCCCTGCCTTTCAACGATTAGCTTTACCCACCCGTTATTCATTTGTTCCTCCCAAACTAATAACTTCTTCCTTACCCTGCCAGAATGAAACATTTCTGATAACTAAGGGAAAAATAGCAAAGGAAGGCTGATGCCTTTCTTTTAAACCTGATGAAAATTTAATTCTACATAAACTGAAATTCCAGCAGATGGTTTCTACTCTCAAATTTTTCAAATGCTGTTTGTGTAAGTACAAGTGACAGAAATGTTTTTCGCTTCTATGAATAGGAATAGCACACTTTGATTTTGTACAATACTGTATGTATGCTAGGTAAGTGTATTAAAAGTGCTGGAATGCCCTTGCCTCTTACCTAAGGGATTCATCTCTCATTTTGAGAATGGGAAAGTGAGGGATATCTGCCATCTGTCCTTGGCTTACAACAGGGGTGGGCCACCTGTAGTATGCATGTCGTAAGTGGCACAGGCTGCTTCCATGCCTGGTACATGGCAGTCAGGAAGGGGACAGGCAGCATAGCAGCAAAAAGGGCAGGAATCAGAAAGCAAAGCAGCAGGTCAGGCAGGGACTTGCAGGGAAGGAAGCAGAGCAGCAGATTGGGAAGGAGAAAAAAATCCTAGCAGCAACACTTGGGAAGGGTGTATGTGGCATGCTGGCCAAAAAGGTTGGTAGCCATTGGTTTACAATAGGATACTAACCTTTGGTTTAAATTCCAAGCAACAGACAGGCAATACTGCTGGTGTAACAGCTTAGTAAAAACCAGAAAAAAAAAAAAAAATCTGTGATCCGGGCTGAGACAGTTCTAACACAAAAGCATCATGTAGGAGTGCAGCCTGACACTTGCAGTGATAAAAGTTACAATTAAAGCGATGCTGTCTAAAAGAGCATACTGAGAAAGCTGGGAATTGGGAGATGGTTCCCAAGTTCAGTTGTTTTCAGTTGGGGTCCTGTGGCAGCAGCCAGGTAAAACTACCCTGTGCCCACTGCTGCTGTCTATGCCACAGTCCTTCCCTAGATGTGCAGTAGGCATGGAGCAGCTTTATCAGGACACAGCACAATTTAGTTGAGAAGCACTGAAGTATGTTGAAGCAGGACCAATAGCAGTTCTCAGCCAGGAGATCCTGCCACATTCAAAAAGTAGAGGAGGGGTGCTGTGACTTGACCAAAAAAAAAAAAAAAAATCACTATGTCCAGTCATTTTTCCCCAGCTGAAAGAAAGCATCTCCAGATCCCCAATGGTTATAGTGGGACTCTATATACAGAATTGGGGGGGGGGGGGGGGGGGAAGCAAGGCGGGGGGGGTTGGGGGGGAGGAGTAACAACTGTCACAGAATACAAGGAGCTCTAAGACGCTACCCTTTCATATCTAAACCAGCTTTAGTTAGATTCAACTGAGTTCCTCCCAGATGGAAGGTGTGGGATGGCTCCCAAAGCCCTCTAGCTTCACAGGCCATGTTGGTACCCCCTGCTCCAGGTAGCCTGTTCCAATGCTTGACCACCCTCATACTCGGTTCCTCCTTATTGCCAACCTACATCTTCCCTATTGCAGCTTGAAGCCATTGCTCCTAGTCATGTCCCCTGCGGCCACACCTCCATCCTTTATAATTAATGTTTAGGTATTTGAAAGCCTACCAAATCCCCACCCCCTCAGCCTTCTCTTCCCCAAATGAAATAACTCCCTTTCTTTCAGCCTTCACCACAAATCACATTTCCCAGGCCTCCAATCATTTTTGTCACTTCGCTGAACTCTTTTCAAGCTGTTCATATCTTGTTAATAATTACTAACATATGCATATATTTGTAAAGAGAATGCTGTACAAGAAACTTGTTTATTTGCTTTTGTACCCCCTGTATAAGATTAGTTTTTATACAAACTGTTTTCTACTTCTGCATGAAAAGCAACCAACATTTTGGGGACCACTGCAAATTACATATCATAGTGACATTCACTCTAAATTACATATAGTGACATTTTATTGTCATTTCAAATATTCATTTCTATGCACAGTGAATTACATAACTGGAAAATACATATGATTTCTTTCCAGATTGTATAATTTATGACTGTGCTGCTTCTAACTGGTTTTTGTTATTAGGTTATTATAAGCAGAAAACCATTTAAAAGCAACATCTGAATCTCACTAGTATTACATGAACCATTTATTTTCTGAACTACTTCTGCGAGTTGCAATACAGATGACAATGAGATGTAGTCAAGCATATGTTCTCATGAAAGACACAGAAATTATTTGTAGGCTTTTATTGGAAAAACATAAAAACAAGAAAAATGATTAATGACAAGTTTATGACAAAGTTAAAATATACATAAGTTTAAGGGCCTGCCTACTCAATTTTAGAGCAGGAACCTTGCCTAACTTATTTTCATATAACCATTATAAGAAAATTGCATTTTAGAGTAACATTATAACACGTATAATTCAGGAATTTAAAACCATAAAAATTGGAAAACTGATTTCAAACAAGGGTGAACCCATTTAAGCAGCCAGGCTAATAAAGTAATTTTCACACACGGGATTAAGTAACAGTTTACCTCTGCCAGTCCTCATAAATCCTTGTTTCCAATCTAAGAAAAATTTCAACAGTTCTCTTGAACATACTTCTTTTCAACTGACAACACTCGTTAGTGCTAATAAGTGGAATGTGGTTGTTGGCTCTTGTTATGAGTCAGCACAACCACTCCTTATCTTAGTAGTCCGGTCTTTAGAAAAAAGATCTTGCTTGCATGAGTAAGCTACTTTGGGAAATTAAATCTGGTTAGTGAAGCTGACAGAATACTGAATTTGAGAGGCCAAGCCTCCATTGGGTAAGCAATTTCTAGAGTTGTATTCTCTGAAAATATTTACTTTATAGGTTGCAGTTCAGGAGTTCATTCTTGAATCCCCTCAAATTGCTTTACTCTTTTCAAAACAAGCAAGCCCTTCTCTCTCTCTCTCTCCACCAATTTTCATCTTTCCCCTTTAGAAATATAAAAGGAACAATGACAAACACAGCAATGTGCAGAAGCTAGTTTAGAATGTGGCCGTTGGGCTGGATTTGAAAGATCAGTCAAGAACACCAAAGTTTTCTGTAACTTTAGTAGACAAAGGAATGAGAAAGTAGTGTGTCAGATAGTTGTCCTTAAATTTTAGTCCAGTAATCACACTTCAAAGTTAATCTGATATGCATTTAATTTTCAAAACTTTTTATACTCTGACTAACATAACATTCAGCATTTTAAAATGTAATTAAATGTGTTGGACCAACCGTCTCACTTGCTTACAACATTATAGTATTTAATAAAAATGTATATCAAGGGAATGGAATTCTATTTGAAACAAACAACTTAACTTGAAAGAAAAAGTATTCAGTGACTTCTACAACATTTGTACCTTTAAAAATAAATTTACAAATTCTTCTGTTCCAGTTTTTCCTGGACTTATCTAATTTATGGATGGACTGTAGTCTGGTCCCTACACTTCTCACTTCTCAGATTAAAATGTTTCAAAGGCATGTTTATACAAGCAGTATGATCCATATTCTGCATATATAAAGCAGCAATTTCAACCTATAAGTTAAAATGCTCTACTTGAAAGTTAAAAGGCACATATTCATACTTGCAGTTTCTGCATTAACCTGAACTGACAAACATGGTTTCTAAATGCTATTCAATTGCTATCAATCAAAAAGATACTAAAAACATGCTTAAACTCTAGACTCTTTCACCGTCTTAAAAAAAAAAAAAAAAAAAAAAAAAAAAAGGTCATGGATGAGTGCTTTCACGGAATAGATAAGTTAACAGTTTAAGAAGTGAAACTTCATGGCATACAAGGATCGAAATTTTATTACCACGTGTTCAGAATCCTAAATATTTCTCTTTCATACAATTAAAAACTTGTTATTGTTTAAAAGTTACAAATAAAGGCTGATCTCATCTTCTACTTTTCATATAATTCTTAGACCTCTGGGTAACCTGAACCTGAATTTGGTTGTGCAAAAAAACGCAACCCTTTTGAACATCCAAGTACTGACTGAACTTTAAAAAAGAATTCTGTTCAAGAGTCTTAAAATCAATACAATATGGCACTTAAGAGTTGTTGTGCTATCATATACATTTAAATTACTGCCATGAAAACAAAACATGTTCAGTTTTAAATCACTGTTATAAAATGCTACTGGGATCAACGTATTGCCCAAAGGTATATATTTAAATAATTATTCATCATGTGCTCTGCTGTCAGTTACTTTTTCAGTTCTGTATACCAACCAGTGAATACCTGGAACACTCTGTGCAACTTTAAAAAAAAACAAAAAAAAACTAATGAGAGATTTCCAATGCGTCATATAAAGATGGATCTATTAATCTTTCCTTTAGCTGCCACATTTTTTTCCAAGACTCCCTCCCCATATGTAATTCTGCACTTTGAAGTCCCAATGCTAACCAAACAAGAGCAGCCTGTAAGGGGAGTACTAGTAAAAATCACTTCCTTAAACAACAGCACAGGAAACACAGACAGACAGGGCAGGTAGTAAAATCTGGTTAACAGGAATACAGCAAAGACTAAACATAGAAAAGTGTTATAGTCCTAAAAAAAAATAAAAACAAAAAAAAACTACTTTTAAAATGTCATTCACATTACATTGGTCTCTTTTCAACAGATATGCAAGCCATTCAAAAAAAAAATCAAGTCATTTCATATATAATGTGATAAAAACAGGTTAAACATGGAAGGATCTTTCATTCATTAACAAATGTTGCCAAAACTTTCACCATTAAAATTAAAGCAAATACATCTTAGACTGGCATTTGGTTGAACTGAAACTACTATTTTTGATGTTTTACCATTGGTAACTGCTAGAAAACATTCAAAATCAGTGTCCATTCATTTAATGTTGATCGAATTTGCTTGCTTTACAAAGGAGTCCAATTTGAAATTCCAGATTGGGAAAGCTCACACAATACCAGATTGAGTATATTCATGAAGATTACTACAAAGCATATTTCTGAAGAAAGCGTTCAAATGCATCATATATGGCTTGCCTAAAATAGAGAATGGAGAGAATAATCATAGGCTACTTAGTATAACTTGCGAAGGAAGAGATAAGCTGCTAATTGTAATTCTTTACTTTATAAAAGTATGGCCTGAGGAGTTCTTGGGGCAGATGAGGCTTCTAACTGCCATAACAGCCATAGCATAAACGCTCGTGTCATGGCACTGTCCAAGTCTTAATGAATCTACAAATATTGCTAAATACCTGCCATCAGCAAATCTCAGACAGGACCCTAAAAGAAGGTTCAACACCTTAACAACTTCCCTGATCCACTGACAACCCCAATCCAGTACCACCTTCTCTAACTTGCTCCAGCTGCCAATTACCTACAGAAGCCTGGGAATGAAACTGGCATAGGAAACTCAGCCTCACACCTGTAGTTAGGAGGCATGGTATAGTAACATTTAAGAGCAGAGAGACAGGTTAGCTGTGTTAGTCTGAAGTCACGGTAAATATGCACTTTATAGACTAAACCCAGCAGTTGACAACCTTTTCAGGGTGTGGGCCAGACTGATCCAGTTTGGGTCAGAGGCAGGGAGTGGGAGGGCAGACTGTAGGTGCTGGGACCCAGGCAAAAACGCTGCTTTTCCCCGCAATGGCAAAAGGGAATATGTCTACAGCTGGTGCTCATCCCCACGATGGTGGCAGCTGGATCCAGCTGGATGGTGGCACCCTCCAGAACCAGCCATCGCTATTCCCCCCCCCCCAATTTCAAAAAATCCGTAATTTTAGTGTTTCTGGCAGGTCCCAAGCATGCCAGATTCATAAGGTTATACTGTATATATTTTATACATATAAGCAGAAGAACTTGTGAACTCAGAACTTATTATTTCTATGTAATCTTGTTTATTTAGTCTATAAAGTGCATATCATCTACCCTGCCTTCTGCCTGACTTCAGACTAACATGGATTATTATTTCTCTTTGCTAATGAATGGCACTACACTCAGCTGAATGAAATGGAATTTAAGTTCATGAAAGCTTATGCTTGTATATCTTATTTAGTTAATCTATAAAGTACACAGTAACTTCTATGCCATTCAAGGGGTCTCCTGTATAGGAGTTCCTACATAGGAAAGTAGCACATGGTAGGCTTATGTCTGCTTTGCACCAATGCAAAAACAACTGAAACAAGTCACAGGATCAGTCTCAGTTATTCTGAACATGTCTCAGGGGAGAATTCAGTAGTCACATAATGGCTCTTTCAAAGAAGTTCTGAATATTTCCATGATACTGGCTCCAATCCAAGTCAGTAGTGACAGAGCCTTCATTAGCTTATCATTCAATTGTTTGTGTGACATAAGTGAGTGATCGCAAAACTACATGGAAAGATCTGATCACAGTTGTAAGATCATTCACAAATGGCACTCTTGGAGATCTGCATAGTTGGGTATTAAATAAGTGCAAGTCAATCATATAACATTGTAATAGCATACAAAACTCTTGCTATAAGCATTAAGCAAAGCTTTTACTGACTCCATAGTAGGCCGGTATTATAGCACATAGCTTCTTGCTCTGTGAGAGTGACCGAACCATGAACCTAGATAGTAGAATGTTGTAACACAGCGGAATGTGGTAAACACCAGGTGTGTTAGATCACGATTCATCCCCAAATTCTTAGCTTGAGATAACCAAATCCCTAGTTCGAGATAACATTATTCACTCCAGACTATATAAACTATACATTCTTAAGTTACGAGTAGTTCCTCAACTCTGGCGAAAATCCTGACTTGCGCAGAGCCCAGCGCAGGCTATCGCATCCCCGAGATTGAGACACTTTCAGGGCCAGAGAAACTATGTGGAGTAGCGGCTGCTGCCTAGAACTGATGTGAAGTGATCATCCTCTCTGCTCTGTCCTATTGCCTGCCTCTGTGAGTATCCTTAAGTAAAGCTTTGCAAGAGTGAGAACAACCGTGAGTATGTCCTTTGTTCAAGCACGGGGAATCTTCTGAACCCAGTAGTTCATTCTAAGACAAACATTATTCTAACTTTTTAAACAATTTAAGAATTGCATTCATAATAGAAATAATTTTTTAGAAAAGTTGACATTGCAATGTTAAATCAAGGGCTACAGCATACTCCTAAACTGGCAGGCAAGCTAAATATAAATTTGGACTTTACCTGCTTATTCATTCCCACAGAAATGAGACTAGCAAAAAACACAGACTGTCTACTGAACACAAGTTATTACCATGTAGAAAGCATATTCTAGTGTGTAATGAATTAGGACTACCGGAGAAGACATGGATTTCATTCTTGCCTCTGCCAGTGGCTTTCTGGATGAATTTAGGCATGCCAAATCATTTCTGTGCCTCAATTTACTTTAAGGTAGAGGCCTTAAAACCTAATGAGGATTTCCACTATATAAAAGAAAGGGATATCAACCTTCTTAGAATAATTGCAGGTTTGTTTTTTTTAAAAGAACAATATGCTGGTAGACACAGCTCATGTGCTCGGGTTTAACTAATGGTCAAGTCTGAAGAATTTTTTTCCCAGGCCAACTTTGCAAGGTCTTTTGGGGGTTTTGTCTTCTTTATAAATACTCATAATCACCAATACAGCTATGCTAACATGAGTTGGGGCATCACCCATTTTCTAAGCAAAATATGCTCAGATTCTCAATTTCCTTCCATGGCAGGGGCTAAGGTATTGGTGACAACCTTGGCTTTCCTGCCCTCTTGCTATGGCTAAAATGGGAGGCGGGGGGAGGCGTGTCCAAAAAAAATTACATGGTTGCCTGTGATTTCTTCAAGGCCACAAACATGTTTGGACTGCTTATCTCACCTAAAAAGTCCTTGTTTGAAGAGGTAGGCACTGATATGACCTCCATCCAGATATCTGATTTCACATCCTGGCCAGATTTCTTGAAGGCTACGCACTCCAGTTCGTGGGACATATGCATCCTCCTTGGCTTGAACAACTATGATTAAGCTTGGATCCACTGGAACTAGGTAAAAAGAAAGAAAAAAAAATGGAAAACCAAATTCTTTGAGGTTAACAGTATACTTCACTTTAAGGTTCTTATAATGAAGATGCTTTAAAACAGTAAGGAAATACCTTTAACAATTTATGTAGCATTTTAGAACTAACTGCATTTTCCAATAAGCGGTAATTTTTTTTCCTGTTCCCACTCAGTGTTCTACTCCACTCCCACTTGTCTTCTTTATTGTAATTATTGTAATCATAGAATCAGTAAGATTAGGGTTGGAAGGGACTTCAGGAGGTCATTTAGACCATCCCCAACAATATCACCGTAGCCAAGGATTTGTTTACCCAGGTCTTCAAAACCTCTAAAGACAGAGATTCCATAAACTCTAGGTAGCTATTTCCAGTTTTTTATTAGCCTCCTTGTGAAAAAATTTTTGCTAATATCTAATAGGGCTATGCGAAGCTTCAGTCCCTGATTTGATATGGTGGAGATTCGGCCCGATTTGGTGGCTGAATCTCTGAAACCAAATCGAATCAGGAGACCCTTTACTCTCTCCAAATCGAAATCCTCCAAATCGATTTGGAAAGATTCAGCAATTCGGACATAGACACAGCTTTAAATGTTTTTGCTACGTACCTCAAGGTACCAGGTGGCTTGCGAATGCTGCAGTGGTGGGAAGGATGGAGAGTCCCACAGGAGCACGAGGGTGTCCCCAGCATGCTCAGTAGCAAACCTTGAAGTAGACCAGAAGCACTTCCGGTCCACTTCCAGGTCCCTCGGGGAGCGCACTGGCCCCCCTCCCCACACCCTCCTGGCACCTCCTGGGTCTAGGGGGCACCCAGTGTCCCCCTGCGGCCCATTGCCAAGCCAGGGGAATGCTGGGGGGGGGGGCGGCCTGCATACTCCCCGACAGACCTGGGTTTGCTGCCAAGCATGTGCCCCCACCCGCTTCGTGTTGCTGTGGGACACTCCATCTGCCCCACCATTGCAGCGTTCACAAGCCGTGCCTGGTACCTCAAGGTATGTAGAAAAAACATTTAAAGCTGCATCTATGGCCAAATCACTGATTCTCCGAATCAGCATCGTATCTTCAGATTCAGATTTGGCTGAATAGAATCAGGGATTGATCTGAATCAACAAATCAAATAGGTCCTGTTTTGCACACCCCTAATATCTAACCTGATATCTAATACCTAGCTTCCCTAGCTGCAACTTGAGATCGTTACTCCTTGCTCTGTCATCTGCCACCACTGAGAACAGCCTTGCTCCATCCTCTTTGGAACCACACTTCAGGTACCATAGAATCATACAAAATTAGGGTTGAAAGGGACCTCAGGAGGTCATCTAGTCCACCCCCTGCTCAAAGCAGGACCATCCCCAACTAGATCATTCCAGCCCGGGCTTTATTATGCCAGGCCTTAAAAACCTCCAATGATAGAAATTCTACCACCTCTTTATGTAACCCATTGCAGTGCTTCACCACCATCTTATTGAATATTAGGGAAAATGTTCTCACTCCAAACCTCCCTTGCTGCAACTTAAGACCATTGCTCCTTGTTCTGTCATCTGTCACCACTGAGAACAGTCTAGAGCCATCCTCTTTGGAGACACCCTTCAGGTAGTTAAAGGCTGCTATCAAATCCCCCCTCACTTCTCTTCTGCAGATTAAGCCCTATTCCCTCAACCTCTCCTTATATGTCATGTCCCTGCCCCCTTAACATTTTTACTGTCCTAAACTGCACTCTCTCCAACGTGTCCACATCCTCTCTGTAGCAGGGGCCCCAAAACTCCAGATGTAGCCTCACCAGTGCAGAATACAGTGGAATAGTTACGTCCCTTGATCTGCTGGCAATGCTCCCACTAACTCAGCCTAGTATGCCATTAACTTTCTTCACAACAAGGGTACACTTGGCTCATATTCAGCTTATTGTCCACTGTAACCCTCAGGTCCTTCTCTTCAGAGTTGCTGCTTAGCCAGCCTGTACCAGCAGATGGGATTGTTCCATTCTATGTGCAGAACTTCACACTTGTCCCTACTGATCTTCAAGAGATATGGTTTGGTCCAATCCTCCAATTTTTCTAGGTCTAGCTGAATCCAGGGTCTACCTTCCAGCCTATCTACTACTCCCCACAGCTTAGTGTCATCTGCAAACTTGCTGACGGTGCATTCCATCCCATCTTCCAAATCATTGATGAAGATATTAAATAAAACCAGCCCAAGGACAGAGCCCTGGGGCACTCTACCTTGATACTGGCTGCCAACTAGACATCAAGCCATTGATTACTATCCTTTGAGCCCAACCATCCAGCCAGTTTTCTATCCACTTTACATTCCATACATCTAACCCATAATTCCTTAGCTTGCCTGCAAGAATGCCATGGGACTCTGTATCAAAAGCCTTGCTAAAGTCAAGGTATTATCACATCCAATGCTCTCCCCACATCCATAAAGCCAGTCATCTTTCATAGAAGTCAATCTAGTTGATCAGGCATGACTTGCCCTTGGTGGATCCATGCTGACTGTCCTGATCCCCTTCTTCTCCAAGTGTTTAGAACTTGGATTCTTTGGGGACCTACTCCATGATTTTTCCAGGAACTAAGGTGAGGCTGACTGGTCTGTAGCTTCTTCCCTTTCTTAAAGATGGGCACTATATTTGCCCTTTTCCAATTGTCCAGAACCTTTCCTGATCACCACAAGTTTTCAAAGATAATGGCCAGTGGCTCTGCAATCACATTGGCCAACTTCCTCAGCACCCTTGGGTGCCTCACATCCAGCCCCATGAACTTGTACACATGTCCAGCTTTTCTAAACTGTCCCTAACCCACCTCTGTTGGCTGCTTATCTTCTCCCAAAACTGTGCTGCCAGGTGCAGTAGCCTGGGAGCTGATCTTGCCTGTAAAGACTGAGGTAAAAAAAGGCATCAAGTACTTTAGCCTTTCCCACATTATCGGTCACCAAGTTGCTTTCTCCATTTAGTAAGGGACCCACACACTTACCCTGATCCTCCTCTTGTTGCTAACATACCTGTAGAAACCTTTCTTGTTACCCTCCACATCCCTTGCTAGCTACAGCTCCAATTGTTCTTTGGTCTTCCTGATTTCATCCCTGAATGCCCAAGCAATACTCTTATACTCCTCTTTAGTCATCAGTTCAAATTTCCACTTCTGTAAGCTTCCTTTTTTAGTTTTAGCTCATTCACAAATTCCCTGCTAAGCCAAGCTGGTCTTCTGTCACAATTGCTAGTCTTCCTGAGCATCAGGATGGTTTGTTCCTGTGCCCTCAGTAAGGTTTCTTTAAAGTACAGTGTACAAGTAAAGTTGTTAGAAGAAAAAGTTGTTAAGCAATAAGACTACACTTTGAGCAACTTTACTTTTCACAGGGGAAGGGGAAAAAAGGACCTGAAATGGAAATTTGAAATGGAATCTTAGACCAAAATCCAACTTTATAAAAGAAAAAATACAAATCAACTTCTACTATGAGATAGCTTCTATTAATCCAGAATTATCACTGAGTCAACCACACAACAAACTAAATGAATGCAGTGGTTCAACACAGCTCTCTCTCGTCTTCTCTTCCTTAAGCTCTGAGGTTTTCTAATATTTGTAAACAGTAATAATAATATTTGAAAATGCAGTCCCCATAAAAATCCAAAGATTCCTACTAGCCAACACTACATGTTTGGGGTATGCAGTTACAGAGTTGGCTGATGATCTAGAAACATCTTAAAATTTAACTCTCAACTATATCAAACAACTACAGCCAAAAGCAGGTCTTGCTTGGCGGAAGTATTCACCCTTAGTTCTTGATAGGAAAGAACCTAAATACACAGCACAGGGTAGTGGGAGCCAACCTTTTTGGCAGGCATGCCACAAGGAAAGTCATGTCTCCTCCCCCAATGCCTCTCCGACTCCCTAACCTTGCCTGATCGTCGCTCTGCTCTCTCCTCCTTGCCTTATCTGCTGCTATTCCCCCTGCTCTCTGCCAAGTCTTCTGCATGCCACACAGAAGTGGCTGCACATGCCACTTGGGGCAGGGAGAAATACAGCAATTTTCAACTAGTTCCAAACAGGACTCAAAGATTTGTTGGAGTTTCTGAAGCTCTCATTTACATACATTTCAGGTTTAAGATAATCAAGAATAATTTTGAACCAGAGCATTAAAAAGAAAACTAGACGATCTATATCAGATGTACATCCTTTTTTTTTTATTATTATTATTTTTTTTTTTTTTAAAAAGGCAGCCCAAATATATTTCATTATGCAAAGACAACCTACGATATACTTTCCAATTCAAGGCACAAGCTTTCTGCAGTTGATGTTGCATCATGCATACACCAGCTTTTTACAGAAAACTTAATATGAATTGAAGCTGCCTTGCATACTTAGGGGGTAGGATAAGTTAGTTAGAAGCAGACAATTTTTATGAAAAGTAAATTTTAATTTTAAAAAAGACAAGGCAACTCTACTGCTGGTGCTGCCATTTATGGCACATATGCGACTTTAGGTTTCCTGAGACTCTGGACTCCAAGAAGGTCAAAAGGCTTTGCACACATGGGGTCCCCAACTGCAAGCAATGGAATAAACATTCCAACTGTTTGCCTCACTAACAGTTCAAGGAGGGAGGGAGGGAGAGAGAGAGTTCACTGCAGTAGTCTAAAGTCAACTGCTATCTGACAAAGTAGGCTGTTGCCAATGAAACCTTAATACAGTACCTCTGAACCAGTCAGTTTTTAAGGTGCCACCGAACCTTCCTTCGGCCCACTAGTCTTCAAGAAAGATTTTTCCGTATAGTGTTGACAGGTGTTGTGGGTCACTGACAGATTCATCTCAATGCTGGGTAGTCCAGACAAGTGCACCATGAGAGTTTTTCACCACCCCATCTTAGCTGACTACTGAGGCAGAAAATTTGCTAGCACAGTTCCGAGCCTAAATATCAATGGTGCAAACATCCCAGCGATAATCAGGTACTTGCCTAACCACCGCACCTATACGTTATAAAACCAAAAGCAGACCATCTCAATCACAGGAATAAATGGTTTAACTAAGCAGCTGAATTATGATTTTCAGGTGGCCTTCTGGTCCATTGGCAAAAACTCAGAGTGCAGATGGACTAGCCTACCCGATTTAAATATTCATCTATATCCAAATTCTACTACAGGACATGAAACATGTTCACAAACGCCAACTCGGTAAAACAGAAGAATCAGGAAACCATACTTTTTTTTTTTTTTTTTTTTTTACACAAAGTCATGGTGATTCTCAGCACCACCCTCAATCTGCATAAATTGAAGACCTCAGGTACTTATGCAAGAGAGCTTTCCTGAGTGCGATTCTCTTGACCAGAGTGCTAAACTTTGAGCACTGGACAGCTACATATATAGTTAAGTCCACCATTACAGCTAGAATATGCAGATCTTATTTCAGGGAACTATGGCATATAACACTTTATAGTCAGTTATACTAGTATGGGATTTAGCTGACCTGGGTTAAACAAGGGACCCCGATATTACTGATACTGGATACCACACCTCTTAATAGTCCTTCATCTTTGGCACCGAACCAATTTGTGTAAATTGCTTTTCTCTCTCAACTCAGATGGATCAGAGAATCCTACTGCCACCTGAGCAGGGTGCAGTCTAATCCAAAATTTAGAGCTGTTCACACAATGCACCAAAACAATTCAAGGAAATGGCAGTCAACTAGATCCTCAGGATTATACTGCTGATATATATATGGAGCTGGGGGTACTGCAGGCAAAGACTACAGTGAACTGTAGTAACAAGCTTTACTACACTTAAAGGATCCAGACTATAGGAGTGTTGATGAGCAATAGACTATTTTGAATTGCTTACCAGGGACCACAGCCTTATGACCTTGGCAGTGACCCAGATGGATTGAGGGATCTTGTGGACACCCAAACCACTTTAGTTGACTAGTCAATGATATCAGAACCTCGACAACAAATTATGAAGAGATCCAGAAACTTCCATGCCACATCTTTTGTGCTAGAACCTCATCACTGGACTTAACCGGATTAAGTCAGGCACACAACCACTTAAGCTAATGACTATCCTAAGTCACTACTGGATTTATGCATTACCAGATCTGTCTGATTGGCCTTGAAAAGCCTTCCCAACAGCAGGCTGAGGCAACCATTCAGTCCCAGAAGAGAGTCAACTGCTATTTCTTTTTCTTTTCAATAAAAGAGCTGGAATAACTCAACACAAAAAGACAGCCGTGAAGGAACTGAAAGAAAAAATGAAAGAGGAACGAATCTGACCTTCCTATGTAGTCTGTGCTCCCTGCATCTTGAAAAAGAAATGAGTCGAGATTACGACTTCTCCCTTTCCCACATATTCAGAATCAAGAATGGAAGTATAGCAACTAGCAGTCAACCTTCCTCTGCAGTCAGCACCACAACTCAGCACTAAAAGATGCTAATTCTATGAACGCGTATATGCAGAAACCATTAAAATAAAAGTGCTGTTGCAGACTATTTCAAATACCCTATATTAAAACAAACAAACAAACAAACAAACAAACAAATACCTGAGAAATTAGCTACATGGGTGCATTCATCCATAACTCCTTTCATGAACCTTAATGATTCTCTTTGTAAAGCATCTCTATTTCTTTTTCCATACAACTGATGCTCTTGTTGGTTGGGGAAGTAATTGCTGCTACGGCTGCTAGTTGAAAATGTTTGATTTATACACTGTATTTTAGGAGCGTCTTGCATCAAGAGTCTCTCCGAAGAGGCACTTACAGTACTTTTACTTGTGCTAAGGCAATGAATAGCTTCTTTAGGCACACTTTCGCTTGTAGCATTCAGGTCGAACGGTTGGGAAGATAGATCTAGATGGTTCAGACTGTCAACGCTGTTGGGGGCATTTTTAACAAAGTCTTGCCCCATCTTGAAAGAATCTGTCTAAAAAGAAACAGGTCTTTTATTAAGGGACTCTTAGACTGATTGGTCAGAGAATTCATAGAATCACAGAAAAAAAAGTAGGGCTGGAAGAACCTCAGGAGGTCATCTAGTTCAACCCCCTGCCTGAGGCAGGATCATTCCTACCCAAACCATCCCAAGCAAATGCATGTCTATCCACTCCTATTCCTAAAACTACACAGGCGACCCTGCCACACAACCACAAAGTATAGCATCCTAACCTGACATTTGTAAAGCAGGAAGACAATGACAGCCAAGATCTTGATGCTGCGAAGTTTGTTAAAAATATGCTTGAGTGATCCAAAAAGAGGGCCAACACCCCCTACTACAGAGGAAGGCAAAAAACTCCCATAATCCATTAAACTCCCATTTAATCCTAAAGGGTTAAATTCTTTCCCAATTCCAAATGGGATGACAAGCGCTCACAAAATTATGAAAACAGCTCCAAGTATAGAGATATATGCACAAACAATATCCGAAGTCTAGTATGCAGCTCAGTCAATGAATGAAAGCCTTACCATCTCTTGATACTCGGTGTCTTTCCCAAACAGAAAACCATGCGGCAATAAGTATTCAAAATACAGTGGTGGTTATGCTGCAGGCATCTGTCTACTTAAAAATGCAACTACTGTACCTAAAAGATTATCAATTGTTAGACCTCAATTAGTTTTAGTCTCTACTAAACTGGCAAATGCCAGTTAACCTTTAAAGTGACAATATACTGGGAAAATTTTTAAATGAAGAAAGTACTTGAAAAATAGCTTCATGTAATGAAGTCTTTCTTGTTTCCATTCTTTATGGCACTCTCATTCTTAACGCATTCATTTTTTGCAAATAACTAGTAAAACAAATGAGATACAAATGCCTGGGATCCAACAAACAACTACACACCAGAACCTGAATTTCCATACTTTATTGTATTGCAAAATTCACTATTTTGGTACAAATACATTATAAGCTTTGTATCCAAAAACACAAGCACAAAAAAGGGAGAAAGAGATCAGCTTTTACACAACAGTGTTAAAAATCAATAGCCATAACAGTATTAAACTAAAGAAGATACTGAAAAAAATAGTAATACTGTAATAGTTTTGCATAGACTCGAAGAAAATGAGGAAGGTGACAAATTATTGATAAAACTACAATATGTCAGCGGGATAGTGAATTTGAAGGATTTGTGACTCTTGATGCCCTTCTCACTCCACCACACAAGAGAACACAGGAGATTATGGGAAGTATAGTTCAGCCACAGATGCTGGCCTACAAGGAAGAATAGGGGCATTAGCTTATTAAAAAGCAACTCTCATGAGGCAGTCCTGTCCCACAGGAAAATGCACTTGGCACAGTTACTGTCTTGCTGTGATAAGCATGTCTGATGAGTTTTTCCGCAAACATTATTTTCCTCCCTCTCCTTGCAGGGGTGTGTTGGCAGCACGAGCCACATCCCAGTTGACTCAGCTGCAAGTTGATTCCATAAAGACCCTGGTGAAGTCCCTGGCTGAGGCTGATAATCAGCTTATTGTTAACCCCAGTCCTAGACCTGTCAGCACCCAGCTTTCAACATGCAGGGGAAGCTCGTGATCATGAGCCATGGTTCCCCCAGCACTGGCAAATGGAAAAGGGTGCAATCCTCAGTCCCCAAATTACGCCTCCTGGCACGCACATGTGGTATTGCAGGAGGTGCAACTGTTGGGATCTGGGATCAAATCCCATTGCATCATTAAGGCACTTGGCGCACATTCATTTAGTCTGCTTTACTGACCCCATCCGTCCCATAATGTGTTTGAAAAATAGGCTATAGTCTGAAAAATCCACTTGCCTGTGGATACTTAAATATAAATGGTCTTTCTATCTTCTGAGAGCAAGGCTGGAGAAGCCAGCTGCCATTTCTCTTCTTCTGAACACCTTAGTGATTCAGAGGGGTTTACCAGAACAAAAGATGTCAAAGCAAAGCATCGAAGTAGTGCCACTGGGTAAGTTATCAAAACACTAAGAAAAGCAAGCATCAAACCTAGGACCCAGGACATAAAAATAAGCTAGCAAAAGAAAGTAACAAAACAAAACAAAAAAAAAACCACATGAGTTCATTGCTTATATTCTGTAGAGGGCAATGAACTACCTCTTAGTAAAAGTTCTTCACATTTCTACCCCTTTGCCATTGTCCTCAAGAGAATAACCTGCCTACCCCTAAAAGGAGTTCTAACAGTCCAATACTCTCACAGAAGTGAGAGACCTGTCCAGACACAGAAGAACAGATGATGTTACCTAAACAAGGAAAGTAATCCAGGACAATAGTAAAAAGTAATCATAGTATAGTTTACAGTAGTGTTCATTTGGACAGTCACCCCCAAAATACAAAATCTCCACAAACTAGATTTCTTTTTCTTTTAGAAAAAATAAAAAACGATGTACTTGGTTCCAGTCATGTCTTTATGGGATCATAAATAATTTAAAATACTTGAATCAGCAGCTGCATTTTTTTAGACTATAAGCAATCTATTCCAAGCTCAGGCCCAATTTTGTGACACTTGGAAATATTTTTCCTTTCCCCACCTGCATCACCACCATTATCACCAAGCCAAAGAACGTTCCAAAAGTTTTATTTCCAAAAGAAATACTAGGAAATAGGAACTATATACTTACTCCACAGTATTCAAGCATTTGAATGATTTCTTCTTCATAAACAGTTTGAGTATAATACTGTTTGTCTAGCTCTCTCCAGTTCACTGCCTTACTCAACACACCCTAAAATTAAAACAAACAAAACTGTTAGCAAAAAAAAATACTGACAAACATTTTGGAGGAATTACAAGAATCCATATCCACAGAAGAAAGAACAGATCCTTAAAATAATAACCATCTTTTAAAGTCACAGTTTCCAACTTATTCTGGTCAGTGTCCACTTGAGAGCTCTAATAAAATTTCCTAATACATGCTAGACAGGAGTATTCATAAATCATATTTATTTCACCTTCACATTAAAATAAAAAATAAAACATTTCCCCATTATAACGACGCTACTGCACACTGAAAAGTGTATCTTAAAAATTAAAAGCCTTACCATATGATTCAATCTTTTTTAATTGTAACAGAGAACCTGGAGCACCATATGATTACTGTATCAAAAGGAAATTTGTCTACCTACAGTAGCTGCAGTCCTTTGGAAAGTACTGTTCATATATATTTTACTTTTGGTTTGTATATGCCTTATGCCCATACTCAGAGCCGTCCCTAGGGGACTAATTTAAGTGCTGAAGCGTCTCATGTACTAGCATCCCCATGCTTCAAAATGGCAGCAGGGGCACTTGAACTAAGGCTACTCAAACGAGCTTTAGTTCAAGCCCCCCCCAATGGCATTTTGAAGCGCAGGGATGCTGATACTGGAGGCTGGGTGGAACACATTAATTACCATGCAGAGGCTGGCTGGATCAATCAAGTCTGCTTCAACATGCTGTAATTACAGCGCATCAGAGCAGCCTCCACATTTGTGTACAGGCACCCTAGGAGTTTATCTGCACTAATGATTTCAAGACTGCTTTGCCCAAGATGAGCATCAGAACTTCAAGTTTCTTCTAGGGAGCAAAGTTGGGTAAACGTATGCAGTAAACCCTAGTAAGATATCCTATGTGCTTCTTTTTGAAACACTTCTCAATGAGGCAGCAGAAGCTGCTTGCATCCTGGTGGCGTGGACTAAAACTTTCAAAGGGTGTTTTTAAAAGGGGGGAGAAAAACGGCAGATATGCTTCTTGGGTGAGACAGAACAAAACTATTCCTGGCAAGAGTTCTGGGTGAAGACTCAAAGTCCCCGCTGTGCTTATGACCTAGTGTGCTGAGATCCAGCCAAAAGTATCCTAAATCATCTAGCAGATTTTACAGCTCCTAAGAAGGTTGCTTTGATAGCTAGACAGAAAAAAGAACACCATCAGTGGTGGCTCAAAGAATGGAAACATGCATACTGTAAACACAATCAGAGAAAAAGGGACTTGGAAAGTCATCTAAACCAGCCCCTTGCTTGAGGTAGGCCCATTTTTGTCCAAACCATTCTAAAAACAAAAGTCTAACAAGACTGGGACTGGAACCTGGGCAGCAATGGTGAAAAAGTGCTAAATCCTGACCATTAGGCCATCATAAAGAGTAGATGGCTTCCTGACTGGGGAAAGATCCTCTAGCTACAGAGGGTGAGAATGTCAGTAATTTTGAACTAAAAAGTGGAAAGTGAGACTTCGGTAGGTATCATCCTGAGGAGTTCAAAGGCAGTTAAGATGTCATAGTGTTAAAAACATTCTGACCTGTTGTGGACTTAATTAATTCTTTACAACAAGAATTGCTTTATCATTTTTGTACGTAAGGTGAAAACTAAGACAGCATTTTAAAAGGTGTGCCTTGAGTCCATCAAGAAATGTCTTGAGACTAAGACGACTGAAAACCACTGCCCTAGATCTCTTTTGGTTGGAGATGCAAAATTCCTCTCTCGCACTCAACCTTGAGGTTTTACTGGCAGGAGAGGATCCTTTATAAGGGGCAGTCTTACATCTGTGGCAAAAAAGAAACCAAAACCATTTTTAGAAGGACTGCTCAGAATTTTCAGCCCTCACTACCCCAGTGTTTGAAGGGCCACAGTGACCAGCCAGAAGAATCAGAATTACAAGCAAGCCTTCTGGCTAACATAATACCACATTTGTCTAGTATGTTCCATTCACTGAGATGCTTGCTGTATCTCATGTGTCCATCGTTAAGGGATATTAATTGTCTGGAGATGCACAATTACTAACAGTGGAGAAGAGCTGGATAGAGTATTCAATGGGTTTTCAAGAGGGAAAAAAAAAGATGCTTGGCAAAGTTTAATTAGAACACAATTTTACACATAAAAGGCAGTAACTAATAAAATATAGATCAAGAACACATTAAATAATCAACAACAAGAATAAGGAAAGAAGTTCAGGAGTGATAGAGATTACAAAAAATAAAAAAAAGACTTTCAAAGTATTTCATAAAAAGTAACTTCTAGATTTAGTTTGGAAGACAAAGGCTTTTGAGATTCAAGAGAAAAAAAACAGCCGATATGTTCAAAAGAGTGGTTACAGTTTGAGAACCCAAGAATGTTCTTCGCCATTCAAAACTAGAGTTGTAATTAGGAAGGGTAAGAACAGTTATCTAGTGAGGCTTCAACATTCTCAGAATTATTTTTTTTTAAACAATAATACTGTTCTATGCTACATATTACTATTTATATGCAAAGTCTTTTTTATTACTAATTATATATAATTTGAAAGAAATATTACAGTAAATGTAGTCAATGATATTTCATTGACTACATCACTAAAAACTCGGTTTACAATTATTTCTAGTAACACAAGGCTAAATTTAAGGAAGGGATACATTTTCAAAGGCCCCGATGACAGGCAGGTGCCAAGCTCTCATTTGTGCCTTTAAGAGAAAAAAAAAAAGCCTTTTAAAAAGGCATTAGTGACTATCTCAAAACCTCAAACTGATTTGTTCATATTCTAGAAACCCATTAACAAAACAGAATTTAGTTACCGTAGTAAAGACTCCAGAAGCGGTAGACCAGGAAAGACAAGGTATCAGTGGTAATGGTTTAGGCCAGTTTGTCACTGCTAATGAAGCCATCTGTTAGATAAAAAGAATATCTAGAGAATATCAGAAGGACAAACTGCTTATTTTCATAGGACTGTACAAAGTTAAGCATTAAGTAATTTTAACTTATCCTTAAGACAAAGTAAGTAGTATATCAAAACTTAACAGCACTTCTAGTTCCATCCATCTGCAAAAACTTGAAAAATTAGATTTCCTTTTATGACTTCCTGACAGACACTGCTTTGGGCATATCCTGGTTTCAAACCTACCAGTATTTGTGTTTTAAATACAAGAATTCTGATTAACAAAAAACTTTCATCGTAATCAAGAGTTTTTCCCAACAATGAAAACTTCGTTTACCATCTCAAGATGTCTTTTTATATGCTTCTAAAGTAGTTGGGAGGCTTTCAGAGGAAGGGACACTTCGAAATCATGTATCTGAACAAATAAGACTTTAAAAATTCTTCAGCTTTTGAAGCATATTTTTTAAATTACACACCAAGAATCTCATCCATAACATAGCAAAAGGTATGTATCAACAAGATGTCTCATACAAAATAAGTGGAAGTTGGAGAACCAAACCCCTTTTAAAATGGTTTTTAAAAGTGAACTTTACCCAAAAGGAGTTTTATAGGAAGTTACTATAACTATGAAAACCATGGTTATTGGCAGGTAGTATATTAAACATCATATCAGCTAACCTTGCAGAGCTCCACAGTTGCCAACATTTAAATAGGTAAAATAGATTAAGTAGCATGGCAAAAAAAATTACTGAGAACTATGGGTGAATTTTCAGATTGTTGGAGTGTGTTTTAATGGCATCTATACAGCGGGAATTTCTGCACACTCATATACTACGTGTCATGCATTTTTATCAACTTGTTCCAGTTACTCTAAAATAATGAAAACAGGATTAGTGTACAATTATCAGGTCTCCCTGTTTTTAACTATACATTGGACAATCAAGTAATAAGTTAAAACAAAATACTTAACAGTTACCTAAACAGAAAGACTTACATGTCCTCCCATAGATATTCCAGTCATCCCTAGAGGTCCATAGCCTTCTCTCTCCAGCCAGCGCAAAAGAGCTGCCGATTCAAGAACAAGAGCTCCTCCCATCACAAATAGGTCCGAAACGTTTTTTAAACATGACCTTCTTTCCTCCCCAGAAAAGAAAAAAACTATTTATTTTCCAGCATCAGTTGTACCCACTCATTTCATCAATCTGTATTTATCCTTATAAACATTCTGGTGATATCCAAATGAACTCAAACTCCTATGGAATTCAATAAGAGTAGAAGCAAATTCAGACTCTTCAGCCCTTATGTTCAAGTCCCACAAGGTTAATTTTCCTTACATATTTTTGTGATCCAGATCTACGCAAAGACTAGGAGTATGCATGTGCTAATTTGAAAATATAGGATCATGGATTTTAATATTTTCAAATGAGATACTGTGAGCCAGGAAACTAATCAGCAGTAATGTTCTATGCAGCCGAGTAACAATGGCCCTTTCTAGATGCATGACAACTAACTGATATGAGGCTAGATGTACAAGAGCCTATTGGCAAAGACAATCGCTTTTCTTTTTTCTTATTTACCTTATATCATTGAAAAATTGTACACAATATTTGAAGAGCAATCAGTAAGTCAGCTTTGGGAGCAATCATCAGTACCACTGTCTGACTGAAAGTGTAAGTTTGTCACTGTACTGAGAAATCCATGTAGTGTCTTAAAGAAAAAACAAAAGAAAAATGGAAAGCTATTCAGTTTGAACTTCAAAATAACCACAACGGTTGCTTGTACAAAAAAAATTACAGCCCAACGATGCAGCTGCTCCAACTGCTGGACAACATTCGGAGCAAATGGATGGCTTATAGAACAACAATAGCACTGGTCTGGGACAAGGGTCTATGTCTGTTTTCAATATCTGTCAAGGTGCAAAAGATTACAGGTCTCTTTTGCCTAGGCATCACTACTCCTGGGAACATTTTGAAGTCTGACAATGAATAATTTTTATTTTAGTGCCACAAGAGCAACAAAAGTATGTTATGCTTTTGTAGACCAATACTTATTTGATACTAGAATTCTCATTCCCTATTGCTTAGTGTCCTTTGATTAAGGCTGCTCATTCTTCTACACTTTCTGTTTTTCAGAGACCTATCGTCTGAAAGATAGAGGGATTAGGCTGTCAAATTGTCATCCGAAAGCAGAACACTGAATTTGCTGAGTAGTAGCCCAATAAGAGAAACCACTAATTATAATTCTAAACCGACCAAATACAATTCATTGAGTACTTTCAAAAGGTACTTCAAACTAATATTTTTATTCTTTGAACAGAGATTTTTTTCTTTTTCTCAACTATCTATTAGACTGAAAACCCATTGTTCTATTCATAACAAGTGTTGGTGAAACAAGCTCAGAATTTTAGATTAAAAACAGATTTTCCATTTTTGGGGTGGTGCATTAGTGGCCCAGTAAGAAGCCGATTGGTTTAAAAAAAGACTAGGCAACCATTTCGTATTTTTATAACTGCCCTGTCAGGAATATTAGCAAATTAAAGTAATTACTGTGTTGCTTATACAGATTCCAAGGCAATGTGGCACCTTGTAGACCAGGGATCAGCAACCCCCGGCACGAATGCCAAGTATGGCACGCAAGGTCATTTTGCTTGGCACACCACTGCCAGCCTGGGCTCTAAGCTGCTGGTGCCAGCCACAGAGCCCAGGCTGCTCCCAGCAGATGTCTGGGAGGCCGCAAGCCCTGCTGCAAGCAGACCAGGCTCCCTGGGTAAGCTGCAGGTGGTAGGCTGCAAACAGCTGCTCCAGACTCCAGCACGTCGGCACTCCAGGATCTTTCAAGGTACACATTGTGGTTTTTTCGGCACTCTGGCCAAAAAATGTTGCCTACCCCTGTTGTAGACCAATTCATTTAAAGAGATGTGAACTTTCACAGGCCTACAAAAGTTACAGCCTATGAAAGCTCATGACTTTCTAAAGGAGTTCATCTATAAAGGTGCCACACTGCCCTGCCTTCTGCCTACCTTCAAGCTAACGTTACTAACTACCTCTCTCTACTCGTAAAAATTGTTAAACTCTATTTATAATCTATTACCTGTATATGGGAATACCAAGATTTAAAAGAGTATCTGTGATAGGCTTCTAAATCCATTTAGGAACTTGGAAAGGAAGAGACTTGATTTTCAAAGATATTGAGCCCTATGCAGCTCTCATTAGTTCATGAAAAATCAAGTCACATATTCAAGTGACTAACTTAGAAATGCAAACTTAGGCACGTTAAAGAAGTCTTTCCCAAAAGTTCTTTTTCCTACAGAAAAATAAGTTGTTGTAGAATTTGAGATTTATGAATGGTAAAATAAAGTTTGTTTACTTTGGGTGCAAGACACTTCAGCTTTCCTTTAAGCACCATGATCCAGAAATCAAGCAAGCAAAATGTCTGTAATTTCACATAAACAAGGTATGGCTGAACCAAGCTTGCCAATGTTTATAAAAAATATTAATAAGATTTTATACTACTATGAGATTTTTGCAAACCAAAATGTCTTAAGAGGACAGAATACAGCTAGGTAATATAATCATAATACTTACAATTGGTCCTTGGGTTTTCTGTAGCCATGTAAAAAATTCAAATTAAGGAAAATAAATGGATTAGTTATATATAAAAAAAAGTTAATTTGGGACTAAAATAAAAAAGCATATTGATAAATTCAACTCTGAATTCAGGTATTACCTATTTAAACTATTTTATTTGGCATTACATCAAGTTAACTGCAGTATGATGAAGTCAATCATAATTTAAGACTACTCTAATGAGGTGGAACAGAGAACAAGTAAGTGGGAAAGA